AGCAAATATCAGTTGCAAAAGGAAAGCAGGTGCATGTGCAATGCAACGTCCAAGGCGACAATCCCATCGATATAAAATGGAAAATACAAGCGACGCAACAATATTTGGATGAATCACTTGATTCCAGGTAATTAATTACATCGTCGTTTAAAGTACAAATTCGTGTATCAACAAAATGCAAAACCGCGTATGTGAGGTTGCATAAATTATTTTCTAGAGAGTAAAAACACTCGTATTTCAAAGTGGTTCTGTTTTATAAAGCAGTCGCATTTCTGGCTAGTATATTTCAAGACGAATGGATAAGGATTGAGCCAAGAGCTTGTGTGAGCAAAACGAATTTTTGACAGCAAATGTCATTTACGCGGTTTTCCAGAATGACGATACGCGGCTTTGTACTTTAAACGACGATATTCAAATATGTATGTATGTATCTCCATTTCGAAACATTAAAGCGGACGTCCAGGCATACATATCAGTACTCGTATGAGTGTGCTTGACATGCATATCTATTAGGTATAGAAGGGGAAATGAGTAAAACTTACAGGCTAAACTAATATTCGCGGCTTGCGTTTGGGAACGCACGTCGTCGAATTTTTTTTTTTTTTTTGTGTCACCCGAAATTGGCTTGAGTGCGTTTGCATTTGAAACAAAAAATTTGTAGTAGCGAACTTTTGATGCAGTTTACTTCTATTTGACAAGCAGATATGGATCCACAGTATTGCCTCTAAATTTCATATGGGAACATTTCGCCATCATAGATTTTATGTTTTTATTTTTTTATTTTATTGCGATTTGCAAGCTAAGTTTGCGTTTTTGTAAAAGAATGGTTCAATACAAATGTGTAGATAATTTATTTTTCTACATTTTTATATATAAGGTTAAAAAACCATTTTTATTGTAAATAATTAGCAAAAACTGCGAAAAATTTTTACACTGCCACGGTTTTCGCAATTTCAACAATTTCTGTTGAAGATATGTAGCATATTCAAACATTAAAGTTGTAGAGATTTTCATTCTCCACATGCTTTGTATGAAAATTTATTTGGACAACGCTTAGATGACCACCAACCCCAAAACCCCCGTGGGAAACGTTTCAAACGAATCGGTTTGATTATTCAGCCTTATCACGAACCGGTTCACTTTTCACTTTCGTTTTCCATGTATTTACTATGGGCGGATGTCAAATTTTCGGGTGAAACTCAGGATAAAGTAGATTATTTTTTGCTTTTCCACCATATTGGGTCCGCCCTTTTGAATTTTTCCATCCTGACCTCAGATTGGTAATAACCGGCCCCAAGGTCCCCAGAGGAAAACGTTTCAAGCGGACCGAATCGATTTTAATTTTTTGGCCACCATATTGGATTCGCTGTTATGAATTATTAAAATCTTGCGCTAGGTTCGTGATCAGCAACCCCAAAAACATAAAAACCTGCAGTTTCTTTCTCTATTGGCACAAAAGTTGTAAACCAAGATCGAATTTACGGTTAAATTAGACGCCATGTTAAATTTTCCAAAAGGCCACACTGTTTTCAATGGAGGAGTCTATACGATCATTTTAAGACCTTAAGCTTTGTTATCCGTGCTGTAGAATTTTGGCCATCGTACTGTACCGGTTGACGTGGTGTGGAAATGAATTTTACGCCGATTCCCTCACATCGCTATATTTGGCACGTTTGCCGGTCTCAGCGGCGTATAAGAAAATGTTCGAGATTTTTTTTATTGGTGACATGTATATTTTAGGATTTTTAGCAATTTGCAGGAAACGCCAAGAATTGATTACTTTGGAATTGAATTTTTACTTGAAAACCAACAGCATTAGTTAAAAATACCCACAAATAGACTAAGTAAATCAGAAAAACTTAAGTATTTTTGAAGTTAACGCTAGTAATGTGCGTTAATGCTGAGAAAATAATTCTTATCAATTTTTTTAAGCAGAGATTACACGATTTGCAGATTTGTACACATTTTTTGATTTTGGCAGTCACAGAGTGATGTTGTCTAAAAATAATGAGTTCAGCTCAATAAAAACTTTTCAAACAACACCACTCTGGTATTGAGAAGGCGTACAAATATGTACAAATGTGCAAATCGTGTGACCCCTGCCTTAGCGTTATCTACGAAAATACTTATGCTTTTCTGATTTACTTAGTCTATTTATGGATATTTTTAACTAATGCTATGTATGCTATGCTCTTAAGTAAAAACTCCGTTCTAAATTAATTAATTTTTGGTGTTTTTGCATTTTTATATAGTTATACTAATGTTAGGATCTTTTCCAAAGCTGTTTATTTTTTCCCCTTTCTACTACCTTGATAATGCATGCCACAATTAAGACAGTTTACCATTTGCAATTTTAAAATTGCATTTACCCTCTGAATATGATATATTTTTACAAAAAATTAATATTAAATTAACAAAAAGAAAACTCTAAATACATACTTAGGATTAAAAGGGTGCGCAATTCAAATGACGATTAGTGTATATGAGCAGCATTTCAAAAATTGTTGGACCATGTAGTCTATTTGTGGTATATTGGAGTATTTACAAAAGTGTTCGGCTGTCATGCTGTAGCGGACCAACTCTTGTCTCTGCTCTAGGGTTGCCACTTTGGTAAATTGTTACCAAAATTGGTACAAAAACTTTGGGTTGGTAAAAAGGTAAATTTTTTCTCAGCTTGGTAGATTTTTGATGAACTTTCCGTTCCCGATTTATTTGTCGTAGTTATCTTTAAATATATTATACATTTATTTACATACTTTTTATATAATTACATACGTATAAATGTATACCGATATAAGGCGAACATATCGCGCTCCATTCAAAACTAATTTTACTGGAATCCCGAGGAGCTTTTGATTGCTTAAATATTTTAAATGATTATTTAAATATAAAGAAAAAATTTACAGGTATGTAATTACGCACTATGATTGTTCGTAAAAAAATTAAATCAACGCCATTTTTTATTAATGAAAAAAAAAAATATAAAAAAATCAACGGGAATTTTAAGCAGCCCATTGTTGACTATACTCAAATAGTATTTGCTTTAAAACTCTATACTTTAAATTGTTCTAAAAATGCAGTGTACAAAATTCGAAATTTAGACGAAAATTTTTGGAATTTTTCTATATGTATATATGTAGTTTGAATCCTCGATTTTTACTCTAAAATTATTTCGAATATTAAAAAAAAATTATTTTCTTTGAGTTACTGTATTTGTCAATAAAAGCTCGAGTTGAAGTTTTAAAATAATGAAGTTTCATTGTTGCCTTTAGTTTCATCACTTCCGCTTTTGGTTGAAGGAAACTGAAAATATGCCAATAATACGACTCAAATACCGTATAACTAGTGAAATAAAAAGTTCTTAGAAACAATTTTAATTCTTATCGAAATAACTAAAAAAAATAAAAAAACTATAGTTTTAATTAGAATAAATAAGAAAATAACAAAACTATAGTTTTATTAAAAAAATTATAAAAAAGTTATTGGTAGATATTTCCCAGATTTGGTATATTTTTTGTTTGGTAAATATTTTTTTTCGTCAGTGGCAACCCTGCTCTGCACCAGCTTATTGTAACCCGATCACTGCTCGTGTTTTAACGAAATGTGATTGAAGTTGAGCATTTGAAAGCACATTTTCATTTGCATTTGTTTGCCAGCGTTGCTGAATTGACGATTTCGTTTAGAGCTGGGAAAACATCGATAGTTGAGATATTCGATATTCTCGAGGTTTTTCAACAAAAAATTCGATACTATCGATAGTATAGATTTTTAGACATTTTAAATTTTATTTACATACTAAATGAACTTAAACAATTCATTTCACAGTCTTCGTATAGCTTATTATAGCTAATATCACAAAAAAAAGAATATATATATATATGAAGTAAAAAACTTGCAAAGTGAATTTGTAAGTTACTTTGAGATCCACATGTTTTTATGGAGGAACGTTAGCATCTCTATAATCTTTGGCTTTAGCGAAGCTCTTCTATCGCTAATTATTAGCCCAGCTTTGCTAAACATTCTCTCCGACTCGGTCGAAGTGGCTGGAATGCATGGAATCCTTTTTGCTAAGGATTTGAATAAGGAATCGGTCGAAGTGGAATAAATTAATTTAAATGGTATTAACATTGGTATCGACTCAAAGATTTTTGGATATGCTTACCTTCCAAAACTCCAATGGATTTGTGTCTTGGGGAGAATGTGCCGTAACATGTATTGACGTAGCTCCAATATAGCATCGACCCGATCTGTCCTCCCCATATTGGCTATATTTGTTTGCAAAAACTCGAAAATTTTCTGCCCTGAGGGAACTGAATTTTCTTTTAATGTTGGCGGCTCCGAAGGCACAGTGTCAATTTTTTTTGGGCGGCTAGTTCATTCTCCATCATTTTAAGTCCATGATTGGCATTAAATGGCGAATAAAATCCTTGTTTTTTAAACCTGGGTCACGTAGTGTCCCTATTCTTGGAAATGTGCGCTCTTCATAAGGCATGAGTCGTTTTATAACACGCTCCACCAAAAACTTATGAATTTCAATACCTTCTGGAGATTTTACTTTTATTTTCACATTATCCAAGCTATGCAGCAACCCACACACAATTGGTATAATCAGGGATATTGTAATCGAGACACTTGACGAAATGTGACGAGTGGCACTATCAAACGGTGCAAGTAACAACATTAGTTCTTTTAACAAAGCGATTTGGTCAGCTGTTAATGGTGGTGGTGCCTTGGAAGTACTTAGCAGAACTTTCACTATAGCATCGTTAGGTAAAATTATTCTTTCTATCATATAAAATGCACTATTCCATCTTGAAGGCACTTCTTGTATCAAGCTGTACTTTTATTCGGTTTGTTGTTCTGCTTTAAATTTGCTAAGTGCAATTGCACTACACTGAGAAAAGAGTTTAGTTACATCAACTAAATATGTTTTTCTCAACACATGATTTGGTTATAGTTACATTATTTGTTTATAGTTACCAAATCATGTGTTGAGAGAAATATATTTGCCTGACTTTTTTCTGAGTGTAGACTTAAAATATGTGACAATCCTTTTGCACTTTCCCAAAATATCTTTTAAACAATCGAGCGCTAGACAGTCCTGTACAACCAAGTTTATGGTGTGTG